CCCGGTTGTCATAGGGAAGATGACATTTGAGCCTAGAAAGTCATTTTCCACGGAATTTCATTGCAAGACAGGGCTGCACTTTAAATTGTTCGTAAATTCGAAATCTGAATGAAAGAATGAGAGGGGGGGGGATGGCTGGCAAAGGGTCCCCTTCATACCCCTCCCGAGGGGTATTTAAGGGCTAAAAGGGAATTGGATGGGATTAGGATCTTAATTATTTTTTTTCAGAGCGTTTCTAAGTGTTAAAGAAGAAAACACAAGATCGAGTCTTCTCTACCCTCATCCCTCATCCGCCTCCTCCCTTATCCCCTCATCCCTCTCTCTCACTCCCTCATCCGGATCCAGTTGTGTTAATTTCACCCATTTCCCCGTCCCTCCCCTGATCCCTGTCCCGGGAATATGTTCCCCCTATCACCAGAAATCCCCCTTTCTAAACTCAACCAATGGATTCCCCACCCCTCCTACAGATCTTCATTCCCCAGGATACCCTTGGCATTCCCCCACCCTTACAGCCATGGGACTTCTTCCCGGATTTTCTCCCCTCCCCCACTCCCCGCTTCCCTTCCCGACCTCCTCCCTGCTGTCCCCCTCCCCCTCCTACCACTCCTCCTCTAACTCCTCTAGGGAGGAGCTACCCACCTCACACCACCTCTCCCTCTCTGTATCAGACTCTAAGCCTACCCTCTCAGCCCCCACGCCTAGATACGCCCACTTAAACATGTCAGATCGGGGGCACAGTCCCGCCCCCTCCTCCCCCCTTCTCTCACCTATGGCCAGGTCTCATAGTTGGCCTATTCCTGTTTGGCAGTGCTTTCTACAGGGTGTACAGGTAAAAATTAACGGAGTTACTTAAAAAAATGAAAAGAATTTGAGTCTTTGCCTCAAACTCAAATATTCTAATCCCTATATCTTTGAAGCCTCGTGGTGTAAACCTTTGATATTTTATCAAACAGAATTAACAGTATGAAATATCTAAGATCTACGACATTGGGTTGGGTTGGATAAAGGGATGAGTAAATCAGATGAATTCCTTTGTATAGCTAGGGTTACCTACAAAGAATGCAACTTTTAGGACGACTTAAATCTCAATGAATATAACAGATCTGAAAATGAAAATTGTATTTGTCTTCATTTATTTCATACGAATGTACAGTCGTCCCTGCAATTTCATCCTTTGTTGGTATCCCCTGAATGTGAACAGAATATTATATTTCTCAATGGAGTCAATCTGTTTACATTATATTATGGCGCATTAATGTAGCTATTATTTATTGTAATTATCATTGTAAACTATAACAAAGATTATTATTATTGTAAGCTATAAAAAAGATTATTATTATTGTAAGCTGTAACTATTATTATTGTAAACTAAAGCAAAGATTATTATTATTGTAAACAAAGCTTGGTATTCTAGAACAGGACAGCTAGGACCAATCACAGTTTATTTAATGTTGTTTGTTTACAATGAAACCAGTTCTAGAGCTCATCTAAAAATGTAAACAAATCAAATCTTCTTAGTTCTAAATTTCTTGATATTTTTGACTTAGTTTCTAAACTAAGGAAGAGCTTATACTCCAAAAACTCAAAAAAAAACGTTTTATAAAAATATAGAAATATAACTTATTTTTTAAATATTCCCAGGTTCGGTTTCTGCTGCCTTCAACCGACACCCCTTGGCAGAGATCTGAGGAGTTAGGGTGGAAGGATAGATTAGCTCTCAAGGTATATAAGGGGTTAAAGGATCTGAGGAGTTAGGGTGGAAGGATAGATTAGCTCTCAAGGTATAAAAGGGGTTTAACTTTCAAGGAACTGCATAAGTGATCCTTCATGCCAAAATGACAAGATCTGATTCACAACGGCACCCTTGATATCTTTGTCTGATCAAGTATGAATTAGATATTAACGTTTATAATTTTGAAAACTGATTATTTTCAACTGTGGGTTCTCTGCAAAAGTATGTCTTGCATATTTCTACTGCATGGAAAACATATAGGAATTATCAGAATTAAAAACTTCGAGCGTAGAAAACTACAAAATCTTCCACATTCTTGATTCAAGGGTACCATTGTGAATCTGACATTGCCATTTTTGCATAGAGAGCCACTTTAAAGTACGCTTATAGTCACTTTAAAAGTGTTAGCACTGGTTCCAAGCATATTTTTCAAAAAGGTACATTTTCCAAAGTTTAAATATCCCAATTGAGTAAATAAAAAAAATGGTAGAATTTAATCTTCTCCAAAAATAGAATTTTTCTTTGAATTTTTAAAGTTTTAATTAGAAAATTTTTTGTCTTTTTTTGAATCCCAGATAATATTAAAACAACAGATAGGTGAATGAAAAGATGAAAGCTATGAATGAATAACTAAATGAATGAAGGCACAAATGCTTCTGTAACAGCCTACATTTTCTCTCAAAACACAGGAATAAAAGTAATTATTTTCAAGAAGTATTTTAAAACTTGAATAATAAATGTTACGAAAGCACCAACTTGTTGAATAGATTTGCCTCCTTCAATCAAGAAAATATTATTTAGGACACAAATATTTAGAATATTCTTTTTATTTTCAAGCGAACGAATACATAAATAGAAAAAAAAGATCTTTTCAGTATGATGTCAAAGGAATTTAAACAAAAATGAAAAAAAAAGTATTAATGAAAAAGAATAAAAATGACGTAAATTAAACAGATTATTAGGGATTTTTTTATCCTTAATTAACGTGTAAAAAGTTGAATTATGACAATGTTAAAAACCCTTTTAAATGTTGAATAATCTTAAGAAAAAGAGATAACTTGACGTATATTGGTTGGTTGTAATGTTAAGTAATCTTAAAATTGTAGAATAATTATAAGATGATATGTATTTAGGTGGATTCTCGGAACCCGTATCAATATGCTCCAAATGGGCTCACTTTACTGAAGGTAACAATAACAAAGATAATAATGATAACAATGATAACAATGATAATGATAAAATGTTTTACTTCGAAAGAAATTGAGTCCTTGCCACAAATTCTAATTTTCTTTTAACCATATCTTCGAAACCCAATTGTCCAGACCTTAAATATTTAAAACTTTGATTTTTGTTATATCAAATGGTCAAAAGTGTACACAATCAGGTTGCTAAGATATAGGCATTAAAATCTTTGACTCAATTCCTGTAAATGGACCTGCTTATCTTAAAGGTCAAAAATGACATCGAAATCTAACAAACATTTTGAAATCTAATTCAGTAAATATTTGTAAAGAAAAAGGCATTCCAATTAATCTTTTAGAAATTCTGTTTTTAAATGAAAAATTAAATTAAAATATTTATTTTTTGAAAATGAATAATTTTTTTCCAAGATGGAGTTGGCTCCGTCAGACACGAGTATAGCTGTTGACGCCAAACCGGTTTTGCGGCTACGGATGTCACCAAACAACGTCCCAGATGTTTCAAAGGTAAACTAAATTAATAAATCACTAGGAACCATATTTAATGAATAAAGAGCTGAAAAGTAGCTTAACCGCGCAGACGTAGTTCAATCCCTTCTCTTGAGCACTGGTTCAAGGTTAAGAGAAGTGGTTAAACCATGTTCAACCACGCTTCATTAAATATAGTCCCAGAATCAATATTTTCATAAAATCAACCTCCCCCCCCCCTCCATCTAAGTTTTTGAAAATAATATTTTAATAAAATATAATTTTATTAGGTTGAAATGCTGGCAGAGTGCCCCCTTGAGCATCCTTTCTTTGTCAAAGATAAAGGTAAAAACTCTTTTATTTTTATGACTCTTTTATTTTTATTTGAAAGGGACCTGAAGCGTAATTTGAAGTAAACCTTTATGCTAAGATTGCAATGTCCGATTGACGATGGTACACTTAAAAGCTTTGTCTGATCAGTATGAATTAGATGTAAAAGTGGATAATTTTGAAAATTGTTAATGTTTACTCCACAGAAGTAGAGAATTGCGCATTTTGCTCGAGGAAAACACCTTAAAACCTTAATAAACGACCAATTCTTCTACATATATGATCAATCAAAGGCTTCAAAGGTACCGTTGTGAATCGGGTATTGCCCTCTTTGCTTGGAGGGTCCTTTGAAATTACGCTTCCCTTTAAAAAGTAAATCATTAACAAATTTGTGTTGTGATGATTTCCGACATAATGTTAAGTTCTAGTTACAATCAATTAAGAAAACAATAAACGATATCTGAAGTATAAAGAAAATTAAGGTTAAATTGTTGTTCTTTAATAACATAATAATCAATTATCTTTAAATTTATAAGATAAATGGATACAAAAAAAATTGTTTCCTCCAATTTGATTTCTTTGTGCCGTTAAATAATCTTGGTGTAAACTGTAAATAGAGTTTATAATCTGTAAAAGATAATTTTGCTGATGTTACAAAGCAAAAAGCTTTACTAGTAAATTTTGAAATCACTTCAGTGAAATTGGTCTGTCTACACTGCACAGTTGCTATGCCTCATGTTCATATGACGTTTTAAATTTAAAATTTTATTCTAAATTTCGACTTCCTATAGTTACAGAGTTTTATGGTGATCATTTTGTTTTCGGTACTTTTTCAAGCAAATATATACCTCTCAATATGTAACATAACATTTTCATCAATTCTAACAGTGTCTTGGCCTCATTATATGGGTTATTGCTTTATGTCGTCTTCCTATTCTACAGTTTTCTGGTTATATTCCTAACATCATTTAAACTTTTTTTTAACAAACTGTGAGCATTAAGAAAATTTGGAAAGAGAAAAAATGTTGTGATTTGGTTCTACAATCTACATTGATGATTTGAGATTTATTTTATATATTTGCAATCAATTATGATACTGGTCATTGTAGCCTTGATGAAATTGTAATTCAATAATTATAGAAATAATTTGCTGTGTCATAATACAAAGGTTGCATATTTTTAGCATTAAATTGCACAATTTGATAGATATCAAATGTTGAGCTTTGATCTTCTGAAGTTAATAATATCAAGAAGAAACAATTAAAAAAGTCTCTAAAAGCTGTAACGACTAAGTTCAATCAAAGTTTAAACTTTCTTCTTGCTTACTTCTGTGGTGATTTCCAGCACTCCCGGTGGGACCATTATGAGAATTTCTGCCAGGCAATGAACGGTTGATCAAAACTTCTGCAAGGCTGGATATTTTTTAGCATCAACAGTTCTTGGATAGAAAAAAACATATTTAAACATTCTTTGAGATACATTTTTATCATCAAATACTTTAGTTATCATCTTGAAAATTTAACTTCTTTGATTGAATTCGAATTTAAATGATTTAAGGACAATGTCTACAGAGCTGGAAATTTTAGTGCTGGATACCCTTGATCTTGATATCCACTGTGGACAATTTTGATTTTCTGCCTAGTCCTCTCTTTTGAATATTCCTGCTGGGTTCCAACTAATGAGAATTCTCTCGTTGGTTAAGTAAGAAACTTCCCAGCTTCTTATTGGCTCTTCGTTTTCTGCAAACGACACTCTGATTGGTTGAACTTTAGATATTTTCGTAGATATCAAATAAAGATTTATTTCATCTGCAGATTAACCAAAAGGGAGGATCGAACATTGATCTTGATATCCACAAGAGTTACTAGCTGAGGCTGAAGATTTTGGTAGGAGTTTTGCTCAACCTCATCAGCTTAACTTCTTAGTGTAAACTAGTAAATAGAATAATTTATTTAAATTCTGGATATTAACGGAAAAACCACTAAAAAAATAATAAGAGAAGAGAATGGCTGTATCCGACAACATAAATAAAACCCTTAAATTCATATTAAAATTCTTTGCCTCTTATAATAACATTAAACCACAAAATGTAAAATTAAAAAAAAACTATTTATAAATATTGATGTTTTGTGATAAAGACAAATTTTCTTTTGTGAAAAAGTGTTCAAGAAAAAGATGGGAAAATGTATGGCCTGTGTTGGTACGATCATTCTTACTGTCTGGCTTCATAAACTAGCAGCAGTCTATGGTATGAAGTATGATCTGCTAGAATTAGAATATGTTATGAACAGAAGTTTCTACAGAATTAATTATTAAATGGGAATTAAAGGGAAATTAAAGAGACACTAAACAAATTGCTGGGGAAGGAGGTTAAGGGGTTAAATTCCTAAAGTGGGAGAGGGTGCCATAGCTTTCCTCTTTAAGGCTCTTTTACCTTTACCTTAGAAATAGCATTTTCCCCGGAAAAACATAATTTTTTGCACTTTGGGCTTCCCCCCCCCCCCCTTCACCACTGTCCACAGATTTATTCCTATAAACGCCCATGATGCTTAATAGGTAAAGGAATAAAAGAATATTCTCAATTTTCAATTTTATTCTTTTATATCTGAAGAAATGTCAGAATATTCCCTTGTAAGCTAAGTTTTCTCAACTGTATTTAAAGAATAGGGTACAGAATAGGTACACACTGCAGAGATTGGAATAAACATTCAAGATTTAGAGTTTCAGGGAATGGAATACAGATATTAGATTGACAACCTAAGATGCATAAACAAATTTGTTTTCAATGCAAAGGTTTGTTGCTATCTAGAAATAGAAATAATTCAGTTTACATAAGAATTTCCGAATTTTCGAGAAACCATTATTGCAAAATTTCAAAGAGATTTTTGCTAACATTCAACTTGATTTGAAACATGCTTAAATAAAAAAAAACAATTGTCAAAATAATATATTTGTTAAAAAAAGTAGTTATTTACATAAATTTAGTAATGCAAAAATTTTTCCCTTTTAAAATATTTGTTGGTTTTTTTTGTTGATATTTGCAGATATTTGTCAGAAGGATGTCAAACATTTTTTGCAAAATTTGTTGGAAACCCTATGTTTCCGTATTTACTTATATACGTACATAAAATTATATAGTTTCAATAGTTTTAATAAAGAATATCAAGAATTCTACTGGCATGAATACTTTAAATCATAAATGTTTAAATTCAATTGTTTACTTAGAATTCAATTGTGTACACAGAATTCAATTGTTTACATAGAATTCAATTGTTTACATAGAATTCAATTGTTTACGTAGAATTCAATTGTATACATAGAATTCAATTGTTTACATAGAATTCAATTGTTTATATAGAATTCAATTACGAATATTTTTTAGAAATGTCAAAATATCACAAAACAGGCACATAAGTAAAGTAGGTGCTATTAGAGGTTGGATTATTGTTCTTTCTATGATTTGACTTTTAGCATATATTTTCTCTCTGGTTTAAGTATTTTTAAAATGGTTTATTATAAACAGTTGCTTAATTACACTATACCAAATTTTCAGAAAATATGTGCAAAAATATTTATCAAAAATAATGAGTTAAAACGATCATTATTATTTTGTTCTTCCCTTTTTAAGGATAAAAATATTGCAAAATTGTATAAAAGTGAACTTTAACTGAGTAAAGGTTTGAAGTGTGGGAAGTTAATGATAAACAACACTAGACACTGGCAGCCCTAGTACATTTGAATTTCCGAGCCGGGTCAACCTTTCCGTTTGTACTGTACCTCGCTCAAGGTTGACCCGGTCAGACTTTATGCTTCATATAGGTTGAATTTACTTTTACTAAAGGAGCAGAGGTGCGTGTAGTTGGATTACATTAATTTTTATTTTAATTCGACAGTTTCATTGATAGAATATCCCTTCTGGGTACAAAAAAGGTACAGTTTTCCACCAGCCTTGATATTCAATATTTGAATCCTTCTCTGAATTACTATAGTTGAATAACTGGTCAGTATTAGGTGTACCAGATGTTTGAAGGGAATAATATATTAAAATTTCAAGTCTCTGCAAATTTGTGCCAAAATTTCCAGGGATTAAAATTTGCATAAAATATTTAATTGTGATTTCAGTGTTTATGAAGGCTTGAAGAGAAACATTTGACATAAAACCTTTTCATTTAATTTTTCTGACATTTTGTAATATTTCTTCCATTATTGTCCTGGTGCTGAATTGTTTACAAAACTCCCACCAAAATGAGGTGTTTATCATTGCGAGATGAAATAGCAACGTCATCTTGCTGCAAAAACAAGATCTGAGCTTAAAAAAACATTGAAAACATTTTATGAGCAATATCAGTCATTTTTAGATTGTATGATGTTAAACTTATGAATTGATACAATCCCAATTAAAATCACGGGAATTCCTGGCGAAGTATAGGAAAACGTATCAAACTGTCAAATGTTTAAAATAAGATATATTTTGAAAATAGACAATTTTAAAATAATTTTGGAAAAAAAATTAACATTTCTACAATTAATTATTAGATACTACAATTTAATCTAATATTAGAACATTTTTAAAGATCCATGACTATGACAAATAGTGTAATTGGAAAGGTGTCATACCTTTGCGCTGGAATTCTGAATGATAAATCGGCATTTTCTCAGTCCACAATTGTCTTTGAAAAGTAAGACTAATACCAATGAATAGATAATGCATGGATATCTATTTTACCCTCAAATTAAGTGAACGCTACCTTAAATCGTTTTTTAAATAGCAATGGGATGGCTGATTTTTTCCTTGTTGTTTCTGCTGCATTTTTAGGAAAATTGCTAGAAAATCTAATTATTTTTGCCAAGTCAAAGGTTTACATGACACCGTTTAAAGAAAGAAAGAAAATAGCTTTTGATATCCTAAAAAGGTGGAGAGGAGAGATATTATCAATGCTATTATCAAAAATTTAGAACAAATCGAATTGACCTATTGACTTTTTCATTATTTGGATTGGCCCCTGGGGACATTAAAATACTTAAAAGTAAATATTGAGGCCTGAATATGTTAAATACTAAATCCGATACCCCTAGACCTGGAACCATATTTTTTTCATTTTTGTGATTTTTGTGAACTGGATGCTAAATAAATACTAAGTCAGTGAACAAAGGCTGATTTTAGCTTGAATTATTCCGTTATTTATAACTATTGCTTTAGTCAGTAGTAAGTAATTAGAGTTTGAAATTACTCAGTATAGTTAAGATTAACAGGGGTTGGAATAATTTGGTTCAAACACTGTCCATTGGAGACTGGAGTGTAATATTATCTTTTTGCATTATTAGAAGAAACTGTAAGGTTTTTTTTGATCTATCAAAAATAACAAACATGGAAAGATAGAATCTCATCAAATTGCTTAAACTTTTTGGACTCAAATTTGAAAATATGAAGATAAAAACTACAAACTTTAAAATTTTTTTCTTCAGGTTGGTGTTCAGCGCATCCCCGAGCTACCCTTGACAAATATGGAATTCCATGCCAAGACCTGAACTCTGGGGACGTATGTTTGCCCCCGAATCATCCTGAGGCGGTGAAAACCCCTGACCTGTGTGATCGATTTAAACGCTTTGAATTCTCCAGGTAAATTTTTAAAAACAGTTAAATTTTGACCCATTGACAAAACCTATTTTATGATATATATTATAAATTTGCAAGATCAGTATCAGTAAAATCTTTGGTTTGCAGGGATGGTTTTATCCCCAACAAGTGCTAAGCCCCCCCCCCCCCATAGTCCAGCAAACAATATTAGAAAAGATGAGTGAATTAAAAGTTCTGAATTTACGTGAATGATTTTAAAATAACTCATATTTCTTATTTTAGTCAAGATCTAGCGGATCAGTTTTCTCCCGGAGGTCCCCGGGGCACAAATCATCTCCGGCACGGTATTGCCTCCCTCCTCCCCTCCGCCAGGGGAGGGATGATGTCTCCTCCGATGTCTCCGATGAAGAAGAAAGTTCACGACCCCGACAAACCTAAGCGGCCGATGAACGGGTTTATGCTGTTCGCCAAAAAATTCCGCTTAGAACTAATTCAGCAACACCCGGGGAAGGATAACAGGTAACCACCGTGTGTAAACTGTAAACTGTGCATAATGTTTTTGCGTATTTAATGGCGGCCTTTTTATTCCACATCCGGAATTTTTTTTTTAATAAAAGAAGGAAATGAGATAAAAGGAAAAATAATACTAATTGAAAAAATGATTTTAAAGAAAATAATAATTTCATGGATTAAAGATGACTGATGAGTTCACTTACATGTATTTTGTACAGATGTACTCAATTTACTTTAAAAGAAAAATACGCAGTTTGACTTAGAACAGCTGTAACAATTATTGACAGGTAGTACAACTTTTTTCGGTAACAATTAAAACTAACTTAAATCAGAACGTAATTACAAACGTAATTTTAAACTTCAATTTTAGTATCTACTCTATTTATTTATCAAAATTAAGTTAAAAATAGAAATTTCTTGTGTTATTACACGTGCACTAACTATTTGTAAATTCAGGGCTATTAGCGTACTGCTTGGTGAGGCCTGGAAAGGATTGGCTTTAGAAGAAAGAGAACTTTACTCACAAAGAGCTAAGGTAAAAAATCCAGAATTTACGAGAAATCGCTTCCGCAGACTTCTATGATTTTTGGATGTTCAGGAATTTCTGTCAGCATCAAATTTTCTGCAGATGATTTTATAAAAATTCGCGAATTCTGAGTTTTCTACGCATCGATAAAGGATTATAAATTTTGGTTACTGGGAATCGAATAATTCTTTTTTAAATAATATTTTTTTAACAGGTTCTTGCTGACGAGCAAAAGAAGATCCATCCTGACTGTTGGAAGCGTAAACGATCTCTGAACAACTCTCAGCCCAGCGCTGCCGGTCAACATTCAAACAACCACAGTCCCAACCATCCTCTACCACACTCCCCACACGGGCATAATGTACCCCAATCCCCTGGAGGACTTAGCCACACAGTGCCACATTCTCCAAATCTCCTGGGACATAGTATACATGGTACACCAACCTCCCTTCATCATCATATATCTTTCCCCTACCCCCACCATACCTTCTCTCCCCTTACCCTTGGGCAGCCCGTTTCCCTACACCCCAGCTAGGACAGCGTGTACCTCAGGCATCTTATTTTTCAACAGATGACTCAGCAATGAAATCAGCTGTTGATGATGAAACATCTGACTAATCAGCTGATTTCCGAAGCTGAAGTAGTAAAGACGTGAAGATCAGCTCTAATGATTTAATTCTAGCGAAGTAAAATTATATTGAGTTTTTCTCGGGGTACACAAATACAAACAAATGTTGATCTGTACAGCGTGCAGTGTACAGACCTATTTGCATTAGTAAAATTGGTTGTGCTTACGCCGATTAATAAAAGCGGTACAAAGGGGCACGTAAACTGACTTTAATGTACATTGTTGTAGATCAAATTATACATTGTACTAAATACTCGTTGTATTAGTTGAACAACTGTTGTGATAAAATTTGGAGTGGGTCATCCTATACAAAAGCCACCCTTGTAGCCGGGGCACTCTATACCTAGGCCGCCCCCGTAGTGGGGTCATCCTACCCTTTCAGTTCATTAGTTCATTTTCAGAAATAAAAGGAAATATTAGTTCATTTTCAGAAATAAAAGGAAATATTAACGATTTTAAAAAGGATGAAATAGTTAATAATTCGGGTTTATAAACTTTGGAATACCATTTTCATTTAATTCAAATCAATTTCCGCCAAAAATCCATCAATTCGAAAATTCATCTTTTTATCCCTTTTGCCTGTTCTTAAAAATAGCGAACACTTCCTGCTTTCTCTGCATTTTTAAGATAATTTTTATACATAAAAGGAGGAGGAGGTTTTATTATTACTTTGCTTTCAGAATCCCAAAAAAACAATTTGAATATTTTATATAATTTTAGATGCTTAGGAACATTCCACTATATTGGTACTGCAATAAACCATTTTTAGAGGGGCATGGCACTTCCCGCCCCCTCCCTATTCTCTTGGAGCCCCTCTGACACTTGTTAATGTTGTCTTCCATGTTGTTTACAGATGTTCTATTGTACACAGTAACCTCTGTTCAATAATTCTATCATTGTGATAAATCAAAATTAATTAGGATTATAAAAAAATGGCTATTTTGTGCTTATTATGTTTTTGCTCTAGTATCAACCTTTGAATAACATTTATCGGCTTAAAAAACTAAAACTTGACGCTCAAATTTATCTTGCCATTTTTGGTCAAATTATTAAAAATTAGCTCAATTTCTCATTCGCCTCTCTTCATCTTTGCATAAAATATGTTTTTTAAAATCGCGTTTAATCGTTCTTCTGTGATATCTGAAGTTCTTAATCAAGGTTTCTAATCGCTTAGATTCATTTGCTTTCCTCAAGCATAAATCTGCAATATTTGGGCTAGAATAGGTCATGTAAAAAGGATTTAAAATCAAATATTGGAAGACATTTATAAGGTTAAATCTTTTGAATTTTGTGAATTCTCTTAACATGTTTTATGATATTATTAAATTTTTGATCTCATCCGACCTATTCTGTGTAATAATGGGTTTGACCATCAAACGTCCAATTATGTAACTTTGTGTACAACTATTGTACAACCAGTAACCTGGGGACAGTGTGAACTGTACAATGGTTTATGCTGTACAAGGCTGTATACATGAATATGATATGTAAATGTGTAAAAACTGCATATTCTATATGATGTTAATATTTAATTCAATGTTATATATATATCAGATATTCCTTTTTCCTATATAACATTGGTTTGAATTACATGTTGCCTGTTTACTATTTGCTATTCAAAAAATCAAAATATGTTAGTGTTCAATATATTTACTAAATTTAGATTTTTTTAAACCCAGGAGAGACAATTTTTAGCAGCAAAAACTTAAGTTTAAAGGGACTGTAAACGTAATGTTAAGTGACACTCATTTCAAAGATGGCAATGCCAGATTTTTAACGGTTTCCTTGAAAGCTTTGACTGATTAAGTATGTATTATTTATCAATGTTTTTGTTTCTTTAAAAGGACAGACTGGCTATGTAAGGTAGTTGAGTATGCAGTGTGTGGACAAATTCTTAAGAATTCATTTGAGACATATAACACTTTTTCAAGATCTGCAAATCCTGAGTTTGAGCGAAAAGTCGACGTTCAAAATCGTAACTTTTGGGTGATTAGGTTTTCAAAATTGTTCTTTTTTAAAAGTTTTTTAAATTTACAATAAATAAATTAGTTGTTTAGGAACAGGTTGAGAAAATAAAAACTAATCTTATCGAAAATAAGTAATCTTATTCAATTATTAGTTTCAATAGTCTCATTATTCACAAAGATTTTCTGGAATTTTTATTGGAAAGACGACATTTGAAGAATATGTAGAAATATTCAAATAAATTGATAGAAAATAAGGAAATTCAATGCAATGATGAAAACGAAATAATTGATTCTAGCATTGATTTATTGACAAATTTCTTTTTGAAAAATATGTTCCTAACCATCGAACTAGTTAACTGCAAATTTCTACTTCATTCGTCGTCGTTATTTGATAATTAAAAAAACGATTCTGAAAACATACCCACCCAAATTCATGATTTTTAACGTCGACTATATGCATCAAAGCAGCCATGAGCCCATTCTACAGGTGTATCATGTACGAATTTAACTAACTTGGCTCCAACTCAGAAAACAAAATAGTTTTTGTGAAATACATAGATCTGTGTGCATATATTGTATTGTATTCAAATATTTTACAAAAAAATATTATGTTTCGTGAATTGGTGCTTATTTACTTAGTTATATTTTTACATGATACACCTGTGAATTGATATAAAATTTGTTTTTCTTAACATAAAGGTAATGCTACATCGTCTATACGCAACATCATCCCTACTGAACTTCTGACCTACTAACTTTCCGACCTACTGCAAAATAGGATCTATTTTTTTTATTATTTGAGGTTAGGTTCAGACAATTTCCAGGCTGAGCGCTGCGGCTAGGACATGAAAGGGGGCCGAGCGCCGCGGCTAGGACAGGCTAACCCTTCAGAAAGATAGATATATTTAGATAATTTTAAACCGAATTGCAAGCAAAACTGCGTAATTTCTGGTAAAGATTTAACTTTTCCATAGCATAAAAAAGGCATTTAGGCAGTATGCCTTAGGACTCAGGCAGTATAGGTATAAAAGTCGAGCTTTTAGCTATAAATGTGTTAGTTAGAAAACCCCGAAATTCAAGCTTCCTAGCTCAAATAATTTTCGAGTTCTCGCAAAAAAAAACAAAGGGGGTCGGAATAGGGATTAGGGCAAATTAAATTTGTTCATAATCAAAAGATAATTTTTTAACTCTTGACATATTATAATGAATATTTTTTTCATTGTTTTTTTACACTTTTTGGGTCATGTTTTTGGGACTGGGAGAGTACTTCACTAGTTATAAAAATTTAAATTTTTCAGATTTTTAACCCAACATGCATCCAGCATTAAAATCCTATAAAAAGAATTTCGGACCCCACAAACTCGGAGAAAAAAAAATACTTCTTGAATTAGAAAAATTGGACATTTGTATACTACATTTTTGATCAGATTAAGGTTTCAAGGGTACTACAGTAAATCGGGCATTACCATCACTTAAAGATCACTTAAAGTTACACAAACACTAACAGTCTCTTTTAGTATGATTGATACCTACAAATTTTCTCAAATTTTTTAATACACTTTTAAAGTTTTTTTATGTTAAATTTGTAAATATTCTATGTTACAAAATCATATTTACATACGAGTTCTTCTTTATTTATATTATACATACCTAAAAATGATCGATCTGCAGATCTGTATATTCAGAGTAATTGACAAATACCTCAGCAAGTCACATTATAAACTTTTATATTCAGAATTTTAACTCTCGAGTTAAAAACCCTCTGACATTAATACCTAGAATGGCCATCCTAGAGTTTTTAGAGAAAAAACTTAACAAAAGATTTCAGACAAAGTAGATACAGTATTACAGATAGTCATGTTTAATTTGAATAAAAATGTTGTCACTTAATTTATGCTTGTAAATGTCTTTACGACCATCTAAGTTTAGCTCATTAACTAACTGACCTAAAATAATTATAAATAATTAAAAATTGCAAACATTTAAAAAAAAACTCAAATGTGCACAAATGTTGAATATTACGACCAAATGGGATGTTTTGTAAAACTTTAAGGGAGTGGATTTGCCGCCTTAAAGGTACTGTAAAGGAAAAATGAAAGGGGGTATAGGCTGAAAGCTAATCACTTTAGCTCTTGATCGCGACCCATGAAAGTTTTATCTGATGTTCCTGTCTCGAGAAATTGATATAAAACTGTGTTAAAATTATACGAAAGTTCATATATGCAAAATTTAGAAAATCTTAAACTAAAATCACGTGACCAGAACTATCACCAATGGCAAAGCAGTATACTGGTCACGTGTCTCCGTCTGTATCACGTGACCACTTTACTGCACTGCCATTGGTGGAATTTTTGGTCAAGCAATACGGACGTATTAATAATATTATGAATTAAATCTATAAAAAATAGAAATAACAAATATAAAATTAGAATTGGAGTAAACCTAAGTTACAATTAGCTTTATCTGGGATATCATCGTTTTCAGATTGGTTTCATATTTGCTGAATTTGATCTTTTTAAACCCACTACTTTTATACAAAATTGTATATATATTAATTTTCGTATAAATTTGACAAAGTTGTAAATCAGTTTCTCGAGGTAGGCATATCAGATATAACTTTCATGGGTCACGATCAAGAGCTAAAGTGATTAGCTTTCAGCTTATACCCCCTTTCATTTTTCCTTTACAGTCCCTTTAAAAGTATGGTGAAACCAAAATTAACTTCTTATTTTATCTGATAATGACATTCATCTTAAAACTTTTGCTAGGCCATAAGTATTTCAAGAGCTTAGCTTATGTCTTACTACGAATATGGAGTATGTTTAAACTTTTAACATTGGGAAGATGTTACATGTATAAGTTAAAATCTATCAGACCTAACTTCCATACATATTCATTCTGCTCAACACAATATGATATCCATAAATACATAAACTTTGCGCCACATTTTTCATTTCACTATTTCCCTACATACATTCAGGTAGTGTTCTTAAATTTTTTTTTAATTAAAAAAAAAATTCAAGACTTTTAAACTATATTCTGTTAAACTTAATTTTAATTCTATTTAATATAATCGCAGTAAAAGTTTCAAGGCAATGCTGAATGATCTTGGTGCTACGTGTACTGTGTATGACTTTTTAAGACTTTAGTCACGACTTTATCTTACGTTATTGAGATATAAAGCTGCAATAGATGGGCACAAGTTGCACAAGTTTAAGAATTTGTGAAGAGTCGCGGAAACGCGGTTACCCGTAGCGCTTCCTAGCCTCACCCATATGTCTTCGCGCAAAATGTCTTAATTTTAAATGCTTATTTTAGATAGATAGAAAGATAGATTTATTTAGATAATTTTAAACCGAATCGCAAGGAAAACTGCAATTTCTGATAAAGATTTAACATAAATAAGGCATTTAGGCAGTATGCCTGAGAACTCAGGGAGTAGGTATAACTTTTAGCTTTAGATAAGGGACATGTGTTTATAGTTAGAAAAGCCAGAAAATTTGAGCTTGCTATCACAAATACTTTTCGAGTTCTCACAAAAAAGAGTCGGAATAGGAATAAGGGCACTACAAGATGCCTCAAAATGAAGAAAAAACGGCTAAACAGGAAAAATTGAAACAAAAAGTTGGAATGAAAAATAAATATACTTTTGTAAAGAAAAAATATATCGCAATAAAAACTTTTTGGGGAGGTCGATTTAAAAAATGTTCCTTGATTGTTTAATCACTAAAAAACGAGCGTTAAAATCTTAACATTTTACCAATTTACTAGTTAAAAAAAAGTTTTAAATTTCAATTTTATGAGCCGGCATGCATCCAGAATATTTCAATTTTATGAGCCGGCATGCATCCCGAATATTTCAATTTTATGAGCCGGCATGCATCCAGAATATTTCAATTTTATGAGCCGGCATGCATCCAGAATATTTCAATTTTATGAGCCGGCATGCATCCAGAATGTCGAATAGAATGCATGCATCCATTTTAAATCCTATTAATAGATTTTCTGACCCCGAAAACATATATTTTGATATGTAATATGCAATGTTCAATTTTTTGAGCCAGCAAGCATCCTCTATTCTGAACAGAATTCATCCATTCCATTGTTAACCCTATAATAGGATTTTCTGACCCCAAAACATATATTTTAATATTTGACATGCAAATTTTAAATATTTTGAGCTAACATGCATCCGGCATGCTTAACAGGATGCATGCATCTCATTGTTTCTCCTGACCCCAGAAACATACAATTAGATACCATTTTTATCACTATTTCATGTGTAAGTAGTAGCGAACCCTCCATATATATATATGGAGGGTTACATCATAGAGCAATAAAACGAAGAGGTGAAGCTTAGCTCAGATGTACACAACCGACCTCCCTATTAATTAATTAATAGAGTGGTCGGTAGGTATCACGATATGTTTACGTATCTAACGCTGTACACTTGTATATAGTTTGACCGTATTTTTAAGGAGGATTTTATGGAATTGACCAATTTTTAGATTTTCTTTCTTTATTTAAAGAGAATTCGATGATGTTGACTGCTAACATTTGACAATTTTCGAGGTTTTCAATTTATTAACAAAAAGTTATGTCAAAAATATTAAGTTTCTAGGGCATGACTTTAACTTACAACATTCTTATTTCAATCATTTCTATTGTTTCTTCTCTTCAACTCTTTATGACAGG